CATGCCTGGCATGCACCAATATTTTAAAATTCTGTAATCCATCTTTTCCATGATTAAGATATACAATTTATCACATGTTAAATTATTATAAATTCGTGGATCTATTTCCTGTATTTCTAGTTTACTCCATTAGTCTCCCCACCTCTTCTACTACCAGTATCATATGGCTTTTTTCATGAGTGTATATCCGTATGTTTTACAATAAGACAAATTCACTTATTACTTTTTTTTTTGTAGTTTTCTAGGCTTGTTTAGCCCAGTAATTTTTAGATAAAACATTGCTTTGAAGCAAACATCTTACTATAATGTTTGCCCCCCAGTTTGAAAAATGATGTCCATATTCACATTTCTCAAATTATTAGCAGTTTGGAACACAAGTATGATTTTTGCTCAGAGGGAATGCCTTGAGATTGTGATGTATTAGGGTCACTTAAAAGGAGTTGCATGTAAGTAAAGTTGCATATAAATAGTGAAAGATGTTCCTGTGAAAGTAAGTAGGGACCAGATGCTTTTGAGCCATGTTTTAAGGAGTTTGAAATCCATTCTTAGATTAGAGAAAGTCATTGAGGTGTAAAAGCAATGGGTGTGATGAGATCCTAGTGTTGTGTTAGGAGTTATTCTGTCTACGATGTGGAGAATGGATTGAAGAGGGGAAGGACTGGAGAAGAGTATGTCTTAGATATGGCCATGACTACAGAGAAAATGGAATAAATTGGAGAAACATTAAGAACAAGAAATGGGAATATGGCAAGGGAAATGGAGATGTCAGGGTTAACAAAATGTTACCAAGTGTGTAGAACTGAGGTGAAATTTAATTTAGTTAACAATACTCATTATTAATATTACTAACATTATTAACAGTACTCATTATCATAATATTTGTTATTGGTACTATTATTTTACTCATTACTAACATTATTTTAAACATTACTAATTATTACCTTTTTTGGTTAAAGGAATATTTCTCAATCTTTGAGTATGAAGACTTCATTTTAATAAGAAAAAAGGTAGATTGCCCTCTCTTCTATATGATAGATGTATTTTTAGTAGCAGCTGATATATGTAATGTTTTCAAGGGACTTTTAATTTTAATACTTACAATATCATGCATATATATTATTCATGCATATATTTTGTTAGGGCTAAATAAAAATCAAAATGCCTAATGGTTAGTGCAGTTAAAAGTAGTGGAACTCTTGCAATAACTTTTCAACATCCTTTGTCCCCCACCTCATCAAGCTCTGCAGCCCACAGATTTAGAACAACAGGTTGAAACTATTTTTTATGAAATTGTTTTGAAAATTTTAGCCCTAGATATACATTTTCCCCACTTCTATTGGAAAAAGTAATTTCAGAATATAGGGTTCATCTTTTTATTCAAGACACATTTTATTGAATAGGAGGAAAGTGATTAACAAATGTATTTAACGTAAGAATTTGTTAAGTGTAACAAGTCAAAAATTTAAAACAGTCTAGACAAGTACACATGAGGAACTTTAGTGACTTTTTTTTTCCTCTTATTTCTGTGTTATTATACAAATAATTTTACAATAGTATCACTAGAGAATTTCTTTGTTTCTTCATTTATTTAACATAGAATTAATTGCACTCTGACCCAAAAGCAAATACAACAAAAACAAAGATAAATAGATGGGGCACAATTAAACTAAAAAGCTTCTGCACAGCGAAAGAAATAAGCAGCAGAGTTAACAGACAACCTACAGAGTGGGGGAAAAATGTTCACAATCTTCTACAAAGAACTCAAATTAGCAAGAACAAAGCAATCTCATTAGGTCAGATGCGGTGGCTCACGCCTGTAATCCCAGCACTTTGGGAGGCTGAAGTGGGTGTTATCACTTGAGGTCAGGAGTTCAAGACCAGCCTGGTTAATGTGAAGAAACTCCGTCTCTACTAAAAATACAAAAATTAGCTGGATGTGGTGGTGGGTGCCTATAACCCCAGCTGCTTGAGAGGCTGAAGTGAGAGAATCACCTGAACCCAGGAGGTGGAGGTTGCAATGAGCCGAGATCGCATCTTTGCACTCCAACCTGGGTAACAGAGAAAGATTCTGTCAAAAAAAAAAAAAAAAAGTAATCAAAAAGTAGGCTAAAGATATGAATAGACAATTCTCAAAAGATATACACATGGCCAATAAGAATGTTGAAAAATATTCATCACTAATGATTGGGGAAATTCAAATCAAAACCACAATGCCATACCACCTCACTCCTGTAAGAATGACCATTAAAAAAATAGATGTTCACATGGATACAGTAAAAAGGGAACAGTTTTACACTGTTTGTGGGAATGTAAACTAGTAGAACCACTATGGAAAACAGTATGGAGATTCCTTAAAGAACTAAAAGTAAATATACCATTTGATCCACTAATCCCACTACTAGGTATCTACCCAGAGGAAAAGAAGCCATTATACAAAAAAGATACTTGCACATGCATGTTTATAGCAGCATAAATTGCAATTGCAAAAATGTGAAACCAGCCCAAATGCCCATCAGTCAACAAGTGGATAAAGAAAATATGGTATCTGTATACCATGGAATACTACTCAGCCATAAAAAGTAATGAAATAATGGTATTTATAGCAACCTGGATGGGACTGGAGACCATTATTCTAAGTGAAGTAACTCAGAATGGAAAACCAAATATCATATATTCTCATTCACATGTGGGAGCTAAGCTATGAGGATTTAAAGGCATAAAAATGATACATTGGACTTTGGGAACTTGGGGGAAAGGGTGAGGGGTGATGAGGGATAAAAGAGTGCACACTGGGTACAGTGTACACTGCCTGGGTGATAGGTGCACCAAAATTTCAGAAATCACCACTAAAATATTTATTCATGTAACCAAATGCCACCTATTGAAATTTAAAACAAATCTATTGAAATTTAAAATTTAAATTTCAAACAAACCTATTGAAATTTAAAAAATTTCACTCTGTATGTATAATGTGAACTATATTGTAAAAACACTTCTTATAGCATAAATTATGTAGTGCTTTTACTGTAATTCACTGAGAGTCAGCAATTATGACTTTCACTTCTTAAAAATGTAGAAGTATGCCTTGCAGAATTATATTATCATTTAGTATCACCCTTTAGAGTAGTCAGTGTCTATACAAACATTTCTGTGACAAAGTAAAAAACCATTATTTATTAAAATTTAATTACAATTGATTTTTTGCTTTTAAAGGCTCTTTGTGAAAATGTCTTCCTATCCTGAAATTTCCTAAAATAATGAAATTTTATATTGTTTATTTAAAAATAATCTTTGGCATAAGAGTTAAAATTAATTCCTCTTGGTATTATTGAATGCATTCTTGTGTTCAGCATTGTTGCAGTTGCTATGGAAATAAAAATAAATATAATTAATCTATCAAACATATAAAAAATACCCACATGTGCTGGGCTGGCACAGTGAAGATAAAAAGATGAAAAAAGACACAGATAAATAATTACAAGGTATTTGGAGAAACAGGGAATACATATATATTAGGTATTGAAATGATGTATTATATTGAATATTATAGACAAAATAAATTTTACTCTTAGTTCATTCATTTAACAGTGGCCTATTTAATTCATACAGTACTTTAGTAAATTCCTTTAACTCAGTATTCTGTATTATATGTTGATTGCCATATAAAGCTACTTAATTCTTTTTCATCCATTATTTATTTAAAGAATATGCTTGTTAACAAAAATACTGTGTATTTTCATTATACTTTGTGTTTTTTTTTTCATGGGACTCTCACAGAGTATATTTATAGTGAGTGGCATATAGAATTAAACTTATATTGCCTTATATTTATATTCTTAGAAGTTGATACATCAATAACTGATAGAAATAAATTTTACCTGGAGGATTTTATGCTTTTATTCACTTTATTTCCAATTTATGTATAACTCCTAAGCAAGATCATTTTCAAATTCTGACTGCTACATAGATTTTAAAATTTGTCTTTCTGTTAAACATTGAAGAATAAAATAAGTAGAATATAGCTCAAATTTTAGAACAGAATCTCCATGAAACAGTTTTTTTATGCCATAGAAAACCACTGGCTGATTACCTTCTCAGTCAATATTGCTCTTCGGTCTTGAACTGTATGTATTCTTAGAAGTATGAAACATTTTTAATTGGGTAAGACTAGCTAAATTTGCTTTTTGTGCTTATGATGTAAAGATTAGATTTAAATTAACACCAACAGCAGAGGCTCTTAAAAATGTAGAATTGTTATACTGTCAATTTAAATAATCTTTCTGTGCTTGTCATTTTACATGGATGGTATCATAAGACAAGTAATGACAGATTAAGACCTACCTAGCAGAGGGAAAACGAAATTACATGACTTTATTAAGGCATAAATAAACCTATTAACCATTATCTGGAATACCAATTAGTAGAAAGAGCACTGACAATTTTATTTATCAACATTAAATACAATTATTAATTACAGACCTGATGAATCTAGCAGTAAGCAGGCCATGTTGGATATACTGGGACCTTAGGTCCATTATATGAGAAGGATGATTACCAAAATCCTGTGGGGAAATAAGTAATTGTACTTGTAAAATTTTAATTGCCTTGGAATAAGGCAAATTATATTTTCTTGTCTGAGAATACAAATAGTATGGCATGAAGGTAACAAGCTTCAGTAGTTGTAAATAGAAAATAGATTTATGTTAAGTTTTAAAACAAAGAAAAGAATGATGAATTTTTAGTGCCATAGTATTCCATGTGAATGGCATACTGTAAATACATGCAGGTTTTTTTTTGTTACATTCTTTAGTAGGTGAGCTTTTTTCTGAATTCCTTTTTTTCATAGTGAAAATAATGTGGGAAGAAACTTTTTGAATGAATTACTACAGGTGAATGGGAATTATGTAATTAAAAATATTTTCATTATGTGATCAGCAGTGTTGTGAAATGAACAAGAGACAATTCACATTTTTTGTGTCTTTTTTTCTTTTTCTATGAAGATCCAAATTCCAGAATTTGTGGACATTTACTCATAGGTGCAGCCAAGAATTCTTTTGCAAAACTCATGGAAAAAATTAGTCTGGTAATGGAATGTATACCTCTGCACAGTAGCAGGAGTATTACATATGTAGAAAAAGATTCTCTGGTTCAGAGGCTGGCCCATGGACTTCATAAAGTAAACACCCTGGCCCTAAAATATGGTTTGTGTGGCCATGTGCCCATTATGGTATGTATAAACTTTTATTTAGTAGTAACCTAAGAACTTGTAGGTTTAATTTTGAATCAGCCTAATTTATAGTTTAAATTATTAGTTGTACACGAATGTACCTGGATCTTCTTTAGAGTTCATGTAAAATTTTATTAAAGTGAATAAAAATACTTCCAAATAAGTGTCCAAAATATCAAAATACAAGTAATGGGCCAGGTGCAGTGGCGGATGCCTGTAATCCCAGTACTTTGGGAGACTGAGGCAGGTGGATCACCTGAGGTCAGGAGTTTGAGACTAGCCTGGCCAACATGGTGAAAGCCTGTCTCTACCAAAAATACAAAAATTAGCCAGGTGTGGTGGTGGGTGCCTCTAATCCCAGCTACTCAGGAGCCTGAGGCATGAGAATCGCTTGAACTCGGGAGGTGGAAGGTTGCAATGGAATGAGATTCTGCCACTGTACTCCAGCCTGGTCAACAGAGCGAATCTCTGTCTCAAAAAAATAAAAAAAATCATGACATTAGTGCTAAGTTTATTGTTCTCTATAAATGCACCACAACAGAATTGTATGAGACCCAAACAGCTGTCAGTTTCATGTTTAGCCACAGATTATTTCTTTTCTTTAGGTGTTCATTTTTCAAAAGCCAAATCATTGGTGACATAAAAAATAAAGTTTTCACCTCTACGTTTCTGTAATAGCTGGTACTGTTTTTTGGATAATCAAAGTTACATTTAATTTAGTAAAAATGGTTATTGCTATTGTTAGTCCATCTGTAGTTACTGTAAAATTGCTCTTGTTTAACAATAGAAAAGCACAGCATCATTGCAGAAGCAAATATTTGGATTTACACAAAGACTGCATGCTGCAGAAGTAGAGCGCCGCTCACTACGCTTAGAGGTCACAGAATTCAAACGAAGTGTGAATGAAATGAAAAAGGAGCTTGACAAAGCCCAGGGTCTCCAAATGCAATTAAATGAATTTAAGCAGTCTGTAAGTACATATCATTTAGAAAACTATTGCTTTGGTGATATCTGTTTCTTTATCTCGATATCCTTTTTTCTTTAAGTTTTATTATGTTTGATTTTTCAAATCATTCAAAACCCTATTAATAACATTTCTTTTTCTTCAGAAAACTTCCCTTCTAAAATGCCTCCAGTTGCTGATGTAGGGGGGCTTGAGGGGTTTGCGGGGAGAGAGATTTCCTCTCTTCTTCTTTTTTTTATTTATTTTTTTCGAGATAGAATCTCACTCTGTAGTACAGGCTGGAGTGCAGTGGGGTGATCTTGGCTCACTGCAACCTCCGCCTCCTGGGTTCAAGTGATTCTCCTGCCTCAGCCTCCCAAACATCTGGGATTACAGGTACCTGCCACCATGCCTGGCTAATTTTTGCATTTTTGGTAGAGATGGGGTGTCTCCATGTTGGCCAGGGTGGTCTCGAACTCTTGGCCTCAGGTGATCCACCCACCTTGGCCTCCCAAAGTGCTGGGATTACAGGTGTGAGCCACCATGCGTGGCTTCTTTTCTTCTTATATTGAGTATTTTGAATAAATTAGATTATTTAGTATGAAATCAAATTGCTTTCCCAAAGAAATATTGTCTCATGTCCACCTATGATTTATATGTATTATTTTAAAAAGCAGAAAATAGCTGAAAAAGCAAGGCTGTATGCCAAATACCATTAGATCAAGAACAAAATGCATAAGTGTATGCAGCACAATATAATGCAGACATCCACATATTCTGTTTGGAGTTGGGATATTAACATTGCTGTTTTTAACGTGGATATGGGAACATAGAGTTAAAAGATTACTCTGAAATTTCAAGACTGTATACAACTTAAAACAGCTACTATAACCTCAGTTTAAATGTGCTTTTAAGTGTATCTTTGGTTAATTTGGAATTCACAGTTTTAATATTTGCATTAACAGGCAGCAGCAGGTATAGTAGTTTAGTTATTAATCCTATGATAATGTAATTGTGCTAGTGTTAATATAGGATTTGAACTTGGGTTGTGTGGCTGTAAAACTCATGCTTTTATCCACTTCATTATAGTGGTTAATGTTGATACGTAGGTGTGTTAATAAAGGGTTGTTTTGTTAAAAACATACTAGATGAAAAAAAGATGCTATTTTCCTGTAAGAAAATTGGAGAGCATGCCTGCAACCGTTGTCTCTCACTGATTTCTTACAAAATATATTGGAGAAAATAAAATAACTTCTTTACAGTTGGTTTAAAATTGTAATATAAAGAAAAACATCCTGCCCACCAAAAGCTATTTAGTACTTTAATGGTTTTAGAATATTATGTCCATCTACTGATAGTTGTCCTTTAACAGCTAACCTCCCCATTTGTTAGCTCCTTACACTTGCTTTCACACGACATCTTTCTTATTCTGCATTGCTATACTTGGTTGATTTTATTTACTTTACAGACGAATAAACAGAATATAGCCAGTCTCTGGGAGGGATGGATGGACAAGAGAGAGGCTAAAATTACGTTAAGTTTTTAGGTAAAGGGAAAATTTTGGAGGACTGTGAAGGGAACACACATTCTGTTAGAACAAGAAAGTCCTGCAAAATGGTGGGGATGTTGATGGAAAGATCTTTACTCACTTGATGGTCAAGTGAATTGAAAAGTTCAGAATGGTCTCATGGCAAGGAGTGGTAATTTTAAACAACACAATAAATTAAAGATAGATTAGGTACAAAAATATATGTTCACAAGACCCAGAGCATAGAGGGATGTTAATAAATAGAAATAGAACTGGAGTGCTGAGAGGAGACTGTTGGATTTGATGTTTTGAAAGCTGAGGGTTTGGTTATAATAGCACAGTATAGGGAGTCCAGCAGCTGTTCACAGGGAGTAAAAAGTTGAGTGTTCTGTACCGTCCCAGCACTGTACAAGTATCAGTGACTTATTAGATATACCTTTTACTAGGTGACTTTCAGAAAATGAGGCAACTTTCCTTTGTGGCTTCTGATCATTTTCATTAATTTATATTAACTAGGGTGAATCATTAGATATCTGTTTTTATGCTACACTATTGGCTTTTAAACTGTCTTCATTGTTGAGAAATGCACTCTTAAATTGTTGAGGAATGCACCCTTAAAAAGAGAAATAAGAGTTTTAAAAGACAGCTGCTTCATGGAAGTGGCAGGCAAGGTACCTGGTGCCAAAATGAAACTGAGTGCTTATGTAGTCTAATATAGAAGGACCTATGTAATTGCTTTATCCTGAAACTTAGTTTCAGCAGAAGTCTTTCTCTATATATGAACTGCATGCTTGCAGTTCACACAGAGAGAAAGGCTTTTCTATTTTTGCATGTTTGCAGTTCATACAGAGAGAAAGACTTTTCTATTTTTGTCTTATTTGTCAGAAAAATCAAAGTCTATATTCAGTTACAATAAGTTATACTTAGATGCTTAGAATCAAAAGGATTTTTTTTCCTGTTTTTTCCTCCAAGATTTTTTGAAATTTCAAATCAACCTGCTTTATATTTGTGGCTAATGATATTAATCCACCTCAAATCCTTTTTTAACAATGGGAAAGTTAGAAATTTTAAATAGATACATGTATGCCTTATGTATTTAAGTGGCCTGAATGATCCCCTTGAGTTTTCCATATGTATTTCTCGGGTTATCTACCTTTTGTGAAACCCTTCTCTCCTTTATACTTCAAGATGCCTCTGCTGTTTGTTGTATCTAAGTTTCATTTGTTTAAATGTTTTGAACAGATTATACAAGCTTGTCTTGCCCCGGATTCTACATCCCTATCTAGAACTGTCGTTAGTTATTCCAGAGCAGAGTACTGTGCCCTCCAAAGCAGTCACAATATTGTAAAAACCATGTTGTATATTATGGTGTGCACTTTGTTGGCAGATGCTTATAAATGAATATTCTTTCATTCAACAAATACTGATCACTCACTGAGTGTCAGGCACTCTTCTGAATGTTGAATGAAAGCTAAATGAAGTCCCTGCTTTGTGGAGCTACACCTTTATATGTGTAGTTGGTGGCAGGCTGTGGACAGGCAATAAAAAAAAGCAAGATGAATTTAGATAATGACAATGGCTATGAAGAAAATAAAATAAGATAGCATAATAGAGTGAGTGGGAGTTGGGAGAGGTGCAGTCATGTAAGACCTGCTGAAGAGAAGACATTTGACTGGGAGACCTGAATAATAACATACACTGAACACAAACTTTTAGGTAATCCCTTAAAAGCCAAGGAATTTGTTAAAGGTTTTAATCCCCACAAACATCATCTTTATGAAAAGTGCTCATGTATGAAAATTTAAACTGAGCATTATGGATTTATTTGGAATTTGAAAAGTTTTCTAAGATTTTATTTGACTGAAAATGATAACTAAGGATGGCTATTGTGCTTTAAAAATCACAGTAGTATTTTTATCTTGACTTATGAAATTAAGAAAAGCTAATTGTATTTTTTTCATGTATCAAGTGCCTAGAAATGTTCATATTATATTCCCTATGTTAACAAATATAGTTTTGAAGATTCAATGATAAAACAATGCAGTTAGCTTTATAACTGATTTCTCCTCCCCTCCCACTTTTTAAAGAAATTGATCACCCATGAGAAGTTTGAAAGTGCATGTGAAGAGCTAAATAATGCATTACTTCGGGAACAGCAGGCACAAATGCTATTGAATGAGCAGGCGCAACAACTACAGGAATTGAATTACAGACTTGAATTGCACTCCAGCGAGGAAGCTGACAAAAACCAAACTCTTGGAGAAGCTGTTAAGGTAAGAGAATAAAGGGATATTTACATAAAGGGATATTTTCTCTTTGTGTGGATCTTAGAGGGAATTGTGATATCTGTTGAATAGGGAATAGATCACAAGATGTGAAATTTTATTCTGTGAGGATAGAATGAAACATGGTTTTGAGACCTCAGTTATAAGCCTGCATTCACATGTATTGAGAAGGTAAAAGTAGTCTTTACTTTCCAGTTGAAAACAAAATGAAGATCTTTTCCAGTAATAATAACAATTATTATTAACAATGAAATTATTAACAATAAATTTTTTGTTTCTTTTATCTTACTTCTTCCTCTCTTTATATATTTGCTTTTCTTGTTTTGTACCCAATGGACATTGGAAACTGCATGCATATTTTGGATTCTGGAAGGTTTTGGTCTGGGTTGCTATGATTCTTATGTAAGTGCATATGTGGAGAGGAAAGAGGTTTAGTTAGAAAGAATTCTTCTTTCTGTTAAATATTTGTGGTAAAGGTATTTCAAAGGAAAAAAAAGAAGCTATCATTTAAAAGTTGTCACTGAGAAAATTACATTAATGGATTTAGGACTATGGTATTTTCTAGAAATGTTAGCTACAAAGTATAATAGAATTCTAGTTTTTTATTATACAACTGTGGATTTTTCACTAGTGAGATTATATTCATTGGAATGGAACTAAATCCAGGGAAACAAAAATGATATAGCCTCTGTATAGGATATCGCGCTTAATACAATTAATCAACTCCAAGTTGGTATTAATGTATACAAATAGTATCTATCTATTCTAATATCTTAATAATACTATTATGATCAATGATGAAATAGCAAAAATTTATTGTTAACTTCCTGTTTACTGGACACTATGCTAACTACTTTAAAATACTTATGTACTCTTCACATGAACTGTATGGAATTATTCCAGTTTTATAGATGAGAAGACAGGTACAGAGAGGTGACATAACTTACACATTTCTTAGTAAATAATAGATCTAGGGAGTCAGATTTCGCATGTGTCTTCCTAACCACCACATCATATATTCCACCAATTGATAGCATACAGTTGCCAGGCTCTGTGTTACTGTCTCTACATGAATTATGTTATTTCATTTTAAACTACCTTTGTGAAGGTAGATACT